CCAGGTTTTCATTAACTTCCTCAGGGTTAATCAGATTGTAGAAAAGGAATTATTGGGTGAATGGATATCAACATTCTGGCCAGTTGGTATATGCTCAGTAACTGCTTTCCTGAAAGATTGTGTAGTTTGTAATCTCACCATGGACTGTCCAGCTTGTTATTTTGTTTCAACATTCTTATGATTTTTTTGACTTTCAGTTAGAGAGACAGGACAAAGTGTCTCACTTTTTGCAGTCACATTTCTTTGATTCTTGCTGAGGATGGACATTTGTGTTTTTTTTCCATATGGTTGTGGCTATTTCTCTTGGAAATGACCATTTGTATTGTTTTTCACTTATCTGTTAGGATCTTAGTGTTTTGTTTTATTTAAATTTCTGTGAGCTTTTTATTAAGTTTTTGTCATATTTATTTTTTTTTGAGGATTGTAATATGTATTTTTCATATTTAAATCTATTGATGTTTTCCTTTGTAATTCTCTCCATTGCTTTAAGTTTAGGAAGTACTTTTAAATCCAAAGACTAGAGATATATTCACCGTGTTTTTTTTTCCTTTATGGGTTGATTCTCTTCTATTATAATTAGTTTTGATCAATAGAGGGTGGAGTTCAGTTTGAAGTATGATATTAGGTCTGTGCACATTTTTTCTCCCACTACCTAACTAATTATCTTATTTCGTTTGTCCCTTCCATTTGGTGATGCCACATTTATCCAGTACCATGTTTTTGTCATAGTAGGGACCTCAGGGTAGGACAGTATTTTGAAGTAGCCTTCTCCGTCTGCCATCTCTGGACCTGTTCTTTTGAGGATTCACTCATTTGGGACTTTTGTGGATTACCCTGCTTCCTTTTTGGTCCTGTTTCCCCCCCTTCCGTTTTCAATTTCTGTCTCTGCACTTTCCAGAATTTTTGAAAACGTAACCCACATGACAATACTTGAAGGCGGCTCCCTGTTTCACTCGTCGTCATGTTCCCTTTAGTCCCAATTTCACTGTTTAAATGATAAAACGAAAGCAAGCTCATATAGAAAATTTGGAGATAAGGCAAATCACACAGGAGAAAATAATTATTCTTAGTCTCATCGCTCAAGGATATCCTGGTATTATTAAACATTACACTATAGATAGTTTAATGGAAACTCTATGATATAAGTAATATTTTGTGTATGTATGAATATACATCTATGTGAAACATTCATATGTGTAGTATGTATGTTTTATTTTTACTGAATGGGAGCACCCTATGCACACTATTTTGTTGTGCGCTTTTAAAATAATAATTCCATGTCTTAAATATTCTTCTATGGCTTAAGTAAACTTTTAAAACTTACCTACCAGTTATGTATTTAACTGGACACTAAATAAATTAGTCTACGTGAAAGAATATACCATCTTTTCAACAGTGATTGAGTTTCAGAGTGGAATGCAAGTAAGTGTGTGTGTGTGTGTGTGTGTGTTTGTGACCTTAAAATGGTGTCAACAATTGCATGGTTGTTTTGTGAAGGTTGAATGAGTCAAATCAAAGAAGACAGTAGGTGGTACATCAGACATTTTCTAGGAGCCTAAGTAGCTTTGGACACTGGTGTTTCTTCAAGCAGGTAGAGTTACAGTCCAGCGACACATCCGCAGCTGTAGATGTCTTGATTAGAAGAAAGAATCCAGAATTTCAAGGGCAGGAGAAATTAGATGCCAGATCAAACTTGTGAGGTCGATGGTCATAAAGCTGGTACGGTGGGAAGACCAAGGGGGTGGACCCGGATCCCAGTTGGGTGCAGCCAGGAGAGGCGTGTAAGCCGCGTCTGCCTAGGACTGCTGAACCAGTAGGGTGAGGGGACACGTGGACAAACAGGAGGCTGGTTAACGGAGAAGGGGCTCTGGACCTGAGAACAGCGGGGAGGTGGTAGATGCCTGGGACGTGCAGCCATCGGCTCCATGGTTTAAACCCCGCGGAGCCGGACGGCATGACCTTTGATTTGGGACGTCTGCTCAGATGTATGTGGTTTGCATCCCCCATTCCCGTGCTTGAGGAAAGGGAGTTAACATTGAAGATGCTTTGTTGGGCTACTGTGAGGAGGGGAGAGAATTCTGAGAAGTGGGTGAACCACCAGGACTCCAGGGTGCTGTCTTGGGGAAAACACCTCGTTCTTGCTCCGTCGTGGGCTCTGCAGGCGGACCCGAGAGCTCCGACAACCCGAGAGCTCCGACGCCGCGCCGCACCCGCCCCAGGACTGCGGCACAAGGCCAGCGGCCGGATGTCCGCGTGAGCGCTTTTCCCGGGGCACAGCCTTCGCAAACGGACGCTTAGGGTGTGGGCAGTATCTTGGAGTGTCAAGTTTGCATAGAGAAAGAAGGAGGTGCTATATAAGCATCCACTTGTATATAAAGAACAGTTATTTAAAATTTTTTTTTATTTTAGAGAGAGGGAAACATTGATTTGTTGTTCCACTTATTTATTCATTCAATGGTTGATTGTGTTTTTTTTTATCCTCATCCGAGGACATTATTTTTTTGTTTTTTGTTCAGGTAGAGTGGGAGGGAGAGAGAGGAAGATAAATAGAGAGAGAGAGAGAGAGAGAGAAAGAAACATCGATGTGAAAGGGACACATCGAGTGGCTGCCACCCGCACAACCCAACCGGGGCCGGGGACAAACTGCAACTGAGGTACGTGCCCTTAGCGGGAACCAAACCCGGGTCTCTGGACCGCAGGCCGATGCTCTAATTGCTGAGCCAAACCGGCCAGGGCTCAATGATTGATTCTTATATGTGCCCTGACCAGGAATCAAGCCTGCAACCTTGACATATCGGGTCGCCTGTCCTAACCAACTGAGCTACCCAGCAAGGAGTATTTTTTTTGAATCACATTTATTTCATTCAAATAGATTGAAAAACATTACAATGCACATTTTAATTGTAACAGGTTTTCATTTGTAAAATTGACCGTGTTTTTTATACAAGTTTGATAAACACAGAGTTGAAAACTTTCAAAAGAAGAAATAAAGATAATTAGCCTACCCTCTCTTTGTGTTTCTGTTACCAAGTTTATTTAATATTTTTGGGCTTAGGTACCTACATTGCTTTATGAAACTTGAACTTGAACATGTATGGACAGTATGGGTCACTGAACAGAAGATGTATGTTAACTTGAAAAAGTTTGGTGCTTCATGTTCTGTGTAAGAATTAGTGAATGAGTTTAAAACGTGAACTGTCTCATGAGGAGAACGTTCCATGAGAACAGGGAATTTTGGTTTATCTACCAATATATTTCCAGCACAGGCACAGGCTTGACCCACCAGAGCCATAGAACAGTTGAGTGGGAATGAAAATCTGTGATTGATTCCCAAGCCTTTTGGAGTTGTGATGCTCTACTGTTTTCATTTCATGGCACTTTTCTTTAAAGTTTATTTTTCAATCAAAGTTTACATTCAATATAAGTTTGTATTACTGTCAGGTGTACAGCATAGTGGTTAGACAGTCATATACTTTACAAAGGGATCCCCTGATAATTCTAGTACCCACCTGCACCACACACAGCTATTACAGTATTACTGACGATATTCCCCATGCTGTAATTTACATCTCATGAGTATTTTATAACTGCCAATTTGTACTTAATCTCTTCACCCTTTTCACCCAGCCCCCCAACTCCCCTCCCCTCTAACAACCATCAGTCTGTTCTCTGTGTCCAGGAGTCTCAGTTTGGTTTGTTCTTTATTTTGTTATTTAGATTCCACTTGTAGGTGAAATCACGTGGTGTTTGTCTTTCTCTATCTGACTTACTTCACTTAGCATAATACCGTTGTGGTTCATCCATGTTGTCTCAAATGATAAGATTTCATTATTTTTATTTTTATTAAAATTTTTTTTCTTTATTGATTTTAGAGAGAGAGGAAGGGAGGGAGAGAGAGAAATATCAATGAGAGAGAACATCAATGGGCTGCCTCCTGCATGCCCCCAAATTGGGATTGGACCCACAACCTGGGCATGTGCTCTGATCGGGAATCTAACCCGCGACCTCTTGCGTTGATGCTCAAACATTGAGCCACACCGGCTGAGCAGATTTATTCTTTTTAAATGGCCAAGTAATATTCTATTCTATATATATATGTACCACCACTTTTTTATCCATTTGTCTATTGATGGGCACGTTTAGGTTTCTTCCATGTTTTGACTATTGTAAATAATGCTGCTATGAACATAGGGGTGCAGATATTCTTTAGAATTAGAAATAAATTTTAGGTTTCTTTGGATATATTTCCAGTAGTAGGATCACTGGGTCAAAAGAAAGTTTTATTTTTAATTTTTTGAGGATGTTTCATACTGTTTTCATGGTGGCGGCACCCATGTACATTCCCACCAACAGTTCACGAGGGTTCCTTTTCTCCACATCCTTGCCAACACTTGTTATTTGTTGATTTATTGCTGATAGCCATTCTGACAGGTGTGAGGTGACATCTCATGGTGGTTTTAATTTGCATCCCTCTGACGATTAGTGATGAACATTTTTTCATATGTCTTTTGGTCATGGCACTTTCCTGACTCTCCTCGACATTAGATTAGGGTAGATTCATATAACATGCAGGGCAACCTGGTGATGTTTGTTAGAATGACTAGAATCTTCTTTTTCGTAGTTCATATATTACTAATGAATATTCCCTTGACACTTGTGGTTTTTTGTGACTTGTCCATTTCGGGTGCACATCGTTTCCTTAGTAGCTTATTATTATGTCTTTTTAAAAAACCAGCAAAATGTTTGTCTCTTCCTGAGTGGTGCTGGGTGCAGACTTGGGAAGAGCAGCACTGAGGTTTCGGTGCCGAGCCACAGCTCTGTCCTGCACGCTGTCCTTCCTGCTTCCTTAGGAGACTGCCCGTCTCCCTGTGGTGTGGCCGGGGGTCCCAGGAGAGAGTTCAGATTCCAGAGTCCTGAGTGCCCAGAGACTACTGCACTTCTCAGAATGGACCTTCAAACAGGTTTAATACAATTTTCACTGTGTTCTTTGGTTTTATTAGGTAAAAAAGCTCCAGTCTTGTTCAACAGAGAAATGATCGAGTCGATGAAGGAGGGTTCCGTGGTGGTGGACCTGGCTGCCGAGGCCGGCGGGAACTTCGAAACCACCAGGCCGGGAGAGCTGTACGTTCACAAGGTACCGCGCGGAGCTCCCCGTGAGTCAGTTCCACGTCCCGCGACTTGGCGCGCGTGTCTGTCCCTTCGTATATTTAGAGAATAGAGAGCCTGAAACTTTTAAAAATAAAAAGTAGGCAATTTAAAGTTCCTTTGGAAATACGTGTTCGTCTGTGTGTATATTTATAAAGAGATAGAATTTCAAAACTTTGCCTGTGACTGAGAACTGTCCCAGACGGAGTGTGAGCATAGGGGGGTAGACCTTTCTGACTATATTTTGTTCATTTAGGGGGTTACTCACATCGGCTACACAGACCTCCCCAGCCGTATGGCCACCCAGGCCAGCACCCTGTATTCCAACAACATCACCAAGCTCCTGAAGGCCATCAGCCCTGACAAAGATAACTTTCATTTTGAAGTGAAAGATGACTTTGACTTTGGGACAATGGGTCATGTTATTAGAGGAACTGTCGTGATGAAGGTAAGTAAAGAGATCTGTTCCTTCCTGAGTTTTCTTTATAGATTGGTTTTAGGATGTCTGTTCATGGAAGAATCCTCTCTTGGAATTGAGATCAGTTCTAATGAAGTATCAGTGTATTGGGTTTTTGCCAATAAAATTGTTTAAAAATGCAGAATGATTTAAATATTGCAAAGGCATGACTCACCTAAAATATGCTTTGCTTTTGAAAAAACAGAATCAAACAGAGCAAAAAATTAGAATTGAATAAAGTAAAAACGAAATGGTTCTCAAACCTGTCTGCTTTTAAGGGTTTGATCAGTATTCTTTCATATGTTTCTATGCATGTACAAATTATATATTTTTATATATATGTGTAATAGAAACATTATATATATGTATACACATGGTAGGTTATAAATTATATGAATTTATTTAAAATAATTTTTAGCCCAGCCGGTGTGGCTTAGTGATTGAGCATTGACCCATGCACCAAAAGGTTGCCGGTTCGATTCCTGGTCAGGGCACTTGCCCAGGTTGAGGGCCTGATCCCCAGTGGGGGGCACATAGGAGGCGGCCAATCGATGTTCTCTCTCATCTATGTTTCTCTCTCTCTCTCCCTTCCTCTCTCTCTAAAATCAATAAAGAAAAAAAAACCAGTATAAAAAATAAATAAAATGATTTTGAAAAGAACAGTTTTCCCCCCAACATCATATATTTTTAAAACACTGGATTGACTTAAAAAATGCGATTTTCCTCATTTCCGGTAGGACGGCGAAGTTATTTTCCCCGCCCCCACACCGAAAAACATCCCTCAGGAGGCCCCGGCGAAACAGAAGACAGTGGCCGAGCTGGAGGCCGAGAAAGCAGCTACCATCACGCCCTTCAGGAAAACCATGACAACGGCTTCCGCGTACACAGCAGGTAGGGGCCCACCCAGCAGGAGTTAGTGCTGACGGTCTGAATTTGGAAAGTAATGTACTAATTGTCAAAATTGGTAAATGAAACCCTTTTGCCCGCCTTTGGACTCCTTTAGGAACTGGGCCTGTTAGAAGCAGTTTCTCGGTAGCATGGTGTTTGTCCCAGCAGGTGGCGTTGGAGACTGTTGATTTGCTGAATACCGGGATGGATGTGTGTGAGAGAGTGCACAGGATGGCTGTACTTTCCCATTTACAAATACTTGGAATATAACTGTTAATATTTTTATCTACATCAACTATATTGAGTGGTGATGTACATCAGATTGTGTTGATGTTAAGTGCGTGTTAATGTAGTTGATGTTAAGTGCGTGTATTTGTTGGTTTGTTTGTTTGGTGGTTTATAAAACATTCTTTTTTTTTTTTTTAAATCCTCACCCGAGGATATATTTCCATTTTTTGTACAGATAGAGTGGGAGGGAGAGAGAGGAAGGGAGAGAGAGAGAAACATCGACGTGAAGGGACACATCGAGTGGCTGCCACCCGCACGACCAACCAGGGCCGGGGACAAACTGCAACCGAAGTACGTGCCCTTAGCGGGAACCGAACCCGGGTCTCTCCGGACCGCAGGCCGACGCTCTAACCGCTGAGCCAAACTGGCCAGGGCTATAAAACATTCTTGTGATGACCCGCACAGTTGGGTAAGACTGGGGAACCAGATGTTTCCGCCGAAGAGTGGGCACTACAACACAGGTCTAGCCTTTGAATGTTTGACCAACCTCCTAAATTATTCACCTAGTAAGAAAATTCAGTTTTTAAATGCTTATCTCTTTTCTTTACAATTTAACATCAATTCTTTGCTTTTAAAGTTATCTTTGTGAGAATACTAAAGAATTATTGCAACATAAGAATGGATATTCATTCTGGCTATGAATGTTGAGTCTGACATATGGATATTTGATATTATATTGGTTTCTCTCTCACAGAATGAATTAAAAATGTTTAGATCTGCTTAGAGCCAAAACAAAACAAACGCAAACTATAAAGAATTAAGGGCCAGCAACAGGCACAGAGAATTCTTGTAGCTTCAGTGTTCTCCTAATTCCCATGTCAGTCCAGAAGTTTTAAAAGCTAAGTATGTAACTCTTGAGTAAAGAGCACATCTCAGCAAAATGACCAGAAAACCTCTAGATGTGAACATTGAGAATAAATGGGGTGTCCCTACTTGCACTTACTAGTTAAAAAAAAAAGAAACTGGATTATTGGAATCTACATGGAGGATATTATTGGTAGGATTGTACTTTGCCTTTTCGGTTGGAGATTCATGAGGAAATATGATTATTTATTTCTCTAGGTTTCCCTTACATTTGTTAAGCCAAAGTTTATTGCATTTTAATAGGTATGACAATGGCATTTTCCTTGAACTTCCTCCTTTGTAATAAAAACAAGTAGTTTTTATTGTATATGTGTTAAGAATCTATTGAAGAGCATACTTCTAGGAATTTCTTTTTTTTCTCTCCTCTTTCTCTTTTCTCTGCCTTTCTCTTTTCCCCCCTGTGTTATAAAGACTATAGATATAGCACCTTTGACATTATTACATGTATTATAGAAAATACATTAGTTTATTCAATAGTTGATAAGAAGACCTTCAGATGTGTGATTTCTGTCTTTTCCCACATGAGGACAAAGAGGTTTAATAACTACAGATGCGGATACTGTAGTGCAGAGAGGTTAAGTAACTGGTCTGCGACCACACAGCTAGCAAGGAGAGAAGTCAGGATTTGATGCAGGCAGTATGGCTTAAGAAAAGGCATTCTGAACCACAGCCCTGTGCAGCTTCTCTAAGGATTGACTGGGTCACAAACCAATAGTCTGTCTAACTCTCCCTCCACATGGTTAATAGGCCCTGCTTTGGAAATCTTATATGTGTGTGGGAAAATAAAAATTAAAACTACAGTCTTATTGAATGACTTAAGGTAAAATGAATGTCGGTTCCTACATGTTCTGTCTGTGCCACTTATAAAGAAATAGTTCATCTCAAGGTAAAGAAGGACCTTACTCAGGAACAGTAAATTCCAGCCCCCCGGTTGCCCGTTACCATTCTGCGTTTCCCCATCGCTGGGACAGCTATCCACATGTTTGCTGTGAGGAGAGGCGATAATTAAAGATGTGTGTTCAGAGCTGACTGTTTGTATTCTGCCCATTCTTAATTCAGTTGCATTTTTTTCTTTTCTTTGTACAATCCTGTTTGCCGGCTTGGTGCTGAGGCTGGAGCTGGCTCCCTGGCCAGCAGTCCAGCCCAGATTCGGGAGCAATTGCAAAACTTTGTCCCGGGTGGGTGGAGGCCATATGTTCTGGGGAGGTGCTGGAGGGAATGAAATCCTTCCTACCCTTTTCAAACCCCTCTTCCTCAGCCAAACCTGACATGACATAAAATTGGCCTCACAGAAGTCTCGTGGTGTGAAGGTGGTCTTGCCCAAGCAGAAGATGCTTTGGAATATCGATAGGTCTGCCATCAGGGATAAAAACGCTTGTGTAAACCCATGTGGCATTGTCAGTGAAACTGAAAACAGGGAAGGGGATAAGCCACACAGAGGAAACCGGGTACATTGTTATTAGGTGACTCATCAATTGGAACAGATCTTTACAATTTATTTTATTTTGGAAGTTGGCGGGCAGACGTTGAGCTTTGTTCCCCGTACCTTCACTGCCCCCCCCCTTCCCAATCGTGAAATGTCTCAAGAATCTGCTCGTTGTTGGCAAGGGTGGAGTTAAAAGGCATGGACTATTCCATGTGTGGGTTTACATGTGGGTGTGGGTGTGCTTCTAATCTTCCTGCGATCACTAGCTGTCAGCTCATCCTCTTCCCTCTCCTTCTGCAGGTCTCACTGGGATTCTGGGTTTGGGCATAGCAGCTCCCAACCTAGCCTTTTCCCAGATGGTGACGACGTTTGGCTTAGCCGGCATTGTGGGCTACCACACTGTCTGGGGAGTGACCCCTGCCCTCCACTCCCCACTGATGTCTGTGACGAATGCAATCTCAGGTTTGTTCCTCCCCCACCCCCAGCTCAGGTTTCCCTGGGTTTACAGAGTGCTTTCCCTGAGGTTTATGAAGTCTGTGTTTGCAAATTGTACGGCTTGGCATCGGGGGCTGTGGTTGTGGTCACTTGGGCTCCCACAGTGTACGAGGCCGGGCTGGGCTGCTTCCATTGCGAACCGCTGCTACCCAGTGAGGCGTTCCTTTTTGTTTTTTGTTTTTTTTGTTTTTAATCCTCACCCGAGGATATTTTTCCATTTTTTGTACAGATAGAATGAGAGGGAGAGAGAGGAAGGGAGAGAGAGTGAGAAACATCGATGTGAAAGGGACACATTGAGTGGCTGCCACCCACATGACCAACCAGGGCCGGGGACAAACTGCAACCGAAGTACATGCCCTTAGCGGGAACCGAACCCGGGTCTCTCTGGACCGCAGGCCGACGCTCTAACCGCTGAGCCAAACTGGCCAGGGCCAGTGAGGCGTTCCTTAAAGAAAGCGTTCCCCTGGAAACGTTCGGGAACCAGCGTTCATAGAGCCACGGCGGCAGGGTCCTCTGGGCTCTGCTTAGGTTCCGCTCAGCATTCAGCCCCGCAGGTCTGCAGCAGGCCGCCCCTGGCGTCAGCTCACCTGAAGCTAAGGGACAGGAAACACGCTGGCCAGCAGGCAGCATCTGGCGTCTCTCTTGCTGTGAGTTTTTACAGAGGTCCACGCCGCAGCCCACGCCGCAGCCCAGGACCTGCTCTTTGACCCCCAGTGAGGTCTCAGATTTGAGGAATGAGACCCCCGTTGGACAGATGTCCTGCTTGGAAGCCTCCTGACCCCTGTGGGCATCTCCTGCAACACTACCATAGTCATAGCTTTCAGGGTCTCCCCGGGGATTATGTCCAATTCCGAGAAGTACTGTCCTCAAACTGCAGCTTCACCATCATGTATCCTAGCCCAGGGACAGACAGTTCCTTCCCGTCCAGATGACATTTATCCAGCAGTGTGTTCTAATGACCTTATGGATTCATAGCTGTAGGAGGGGACCAGAGAAAGATAAAGGAAGGTCAGACTCTCAAGGAAAAGGTGAAGGAGTTTTGTTCACTCTTTTACCCAAATGGTATTTCAGTGGGGACGGTGCGTGAGAACTTCCTCCTTTATGAGTCTGTGCGCTTGACGTCCTTCCGCTGTGACCTGTGACTGGCCGTGTCCCTAACTTCACCATATCGATGCTTTCTCCGCAGGGCTGACTGCAGTCGGTGGGCTGGCACTGATGGGGGGAAATTTGTACCCTTCCACCACCTCTCAGGGCCTGGCCGCCCTTGCCACCTTCATCTCCTCCGTCAACATCGCAGGTACGACGGCGCAGGGAGCCCCAGGGCTGTTCTGAAGAGGCAGGAGAGGCAGATACAAATGAATATAAGCTAGACATTCGCTTTTTAAGAATTTGTGCCTTGGAAAAATGTTTCACTCATAAATGCTCTCTATGAAGGGAAATTAGTTATTTTGCCCATCTGCAACTTTTAGAAACTCTTGATAAAAATCCCCAGGGCCCCCAAACAAATAGAATGATATTTTGCTACACCTTAGCTAGAAAGTTATTAAATACCTGGTTGGGCATGAAGCTGATGAAGCGCTATCACCATAACATCTCTGAATGAGTCTAACTTGAGATGACATTTTAGCCTTTTGCCTTGCCTGTTTATTTCTAAAAACTGAAAGCCTAGCACATAATCTGTGCACGAAACTCATGTGTTGTTATTTTGTAGTAAAAATTCTTTAACGGGTCCAAGAAATCTGGTGCCTGTTGACGTGGTATTTTTTTCTTCTATCATTCATGATAGGCTTTAATGAACAGGACAACCTATGAGAAAATAAATCCTGGCCTTTGATGATTTGCATTCCCGAGCAGTTTGAATGGCTGTTTACTTGTAGCCACGTGGAAATAGTTGTTCTGCACTGATAGCAAATTTAGGTTATTTTTTTTTCTCCTTTAATGGAACCGGCTTACATAATAAAATAACTTCCAATTTTGACTGTCTAAAATGTTACTTAAAATTATATTTTTCCAAAGATGATTAGCGTGTGCTTAAAATATAGAAACATGGTAGCTCTTGAAATAATCACATTGCTCAATGAGATAACCTTTCTGTTTTATATTTTCTCTGATAAGGTGGCTTTCTGGTGACTCAGAGAATGCTGGACATGTTTAAGCGTCCCACTGACCCCCCAGAGTACAATTATCTGTATTTGCTCCCTGCTGGTACCTTTGTCGGAGGATATTTAGCTGCTCTCTCCAGTGGCTATAACATTGAACAAGTAAGAAGCTCTTTGGAAAGTTTTTATTTTTGCCACTGTTTTTTCCCCAGTTGGATTTAACACGAGCATTTCCAATATTCAAACTCTGTCATGCAGATAGGAGAGTAACTCTAGAAACATCCTGGTCAGATAAAGCATGCCATCCCCTAAGAATCAGGACGCTGGGCGCTGAAGCCAGGTTGACCTGCTAGATGAATGTGCAAATGGGGGTTTGCCTGTTTGTCCCCGAGTGTTTCCACACGTGAAAAGAGTCAAGAAGGTTATTAGAATCCTCTTTATACACCTGACTGGATTGTTGTAGGGGTACAATGAAATAATCAGTAATAAATTTGAAAACTGTCTGTTATTAAAAACTATTAGTCCTTGCTTTTACTTTTTCCCCTACTAATCTAGTCCATCATCTCTCGTTATCAGGAGATGTTATGCCAATGAATTTTAAAAAGACAGTTTAAAAACGAATGCTCTACAGAAAAACAAATAATCAAGTTGAAATTGGAAAGATCTAAATATAATACTCAACTTGGAACTTGGTTTTTCCATTTTTTCACAATGACTTGCTAGATTGCAACCGCCCCGACAGCAGAAGTCATGTCTCTTGTGGTTTCTCCCATTTACAACATTTAGCATTCGTTGAATGAACAACATCTTTTTTGAGAGGAGTTGGGTGGTGAGTCAGAAAGTCCCATATCTGACCCAGATTTGCTGGGTACTGACCATCTGACCTTGGAAAAATCATGTAACCTGTTTAAGTTTTGGTTTTCCCTTCTGTGTGAAATGAGGCTGATGATTCTCTCCTCCTGAGGATCTCCTGGGACTGAGTCACGACACTTGTGAAGCGTGTGGCCTGCTCCCCAGGCACAGACAGCGTCCGTCGGTGGTTGCCTCCTTTATAGCATTTGGTTAGATCCCATAATGACGTAATTTACACGTAGGTACTTTTTTTTTTTTATCCTCACCCGAGGACATTTTTCGATTTTTTGTTCAGATAGAGTGAGAGGGAGAGAGAGGAAGAGAGAGAGAGAGAGAAACATCGATGTGAAAGGGACACATCGAATGGCTGCCACCCGCACGACCAACCAGGGCCGAGGACAAACTGCAACCGAGGCATGTGCCCTTAGTGGGAACCAAACCCGGGTCTCTCTGGACCACAAGCCAATGCTCTAACCACTGAGCCAAACCAGCCAGGGCAGATGTAGGTACTTTTATATGCATCGGTGCATGCAATCAAATCCCGAAGAAACTAATGTACATAAATGATACAAGTGCAAGTACAGTGGAAAGTATTTAGTAGCCCTAATGGATAGGGGAAATATATTGAAATATTAAGAGAAGAGCTCATATTGGTCTCTCCATTATCTGAATTTAAAATTGTCTTTAGAGAATCACGTTTTCTCAAGAGAGGTCCTCCCTACATTAACAGATGGAAAGTTTTGATTGCGTCTCTTTCTTTCTTTTCCTTTGAAAAGATCATGTACCTGGGCTCAGGTCTGTGCTGTGTCGGTGCCCTGGCTGGTCTTTCCACCCAGGGAACAGCTCGCCTTGGCAATGCACTGGGTATGGTCGGTGTGTCCGGAGGCCTAGCAGCCACCCTTGGAGGCCTGAGCCCGACGCCAGAATTGTTGGCTCAGATGTCTGGAGCAATGGCTTTGGGTGGCACCATTGGTAAGCACTTGGGGGTTTCTTAGCCCACGTTGGACTCAGTTGATGTACTTACTCAGCTAAATGTTCTACAGTGTTTGTATTGGAGTAAGAATTATACCGATTATGGTGACTTGTCACTAAAACAAAATAGATAAGTTATATTATAAATGAAGGTAATAATGCTATCCATCATTTTCTGATGACTAGATTTTGTTATCTCAGCTCTTGAGGTTCTCTGTGCTTGTGTCTGCGTGGTCGGTATACCGAGTGATGATGGGCTCATCTCCTCCCAACTCCGTGGTCAACGAGCACATTGGCGGCTTGAAGTCGGCCATGATTTCATTTATTGTTTTGTTGATTGTCCGGGCCTAAGGAAGTGGTGGAGAAAATGTGGATAATGCAGCTTACACTGAACAGTATTTTGTGTCTGTAGCCATTACCTTGTGACTCGTGCAAACATTAGGCCAATGTGATCCCAGCGTTTGAAAACCACTACCAGGTTCAGTGAAGTCATCACTCACACGGTTGACAATGAGGGAAGGTCTCACACACATCTTGTTTCAGTTTCGTCTTACTTGTTACTGTTAACTAAATTGTTAACCAACATGTACGTGGGACCTACGCTCATTCATCAGCAAATGCTAGGTTGGCAGCAGGTACCAGAGCTGGGCAGAAGTCAACAAAAAGCAAAATCAGTTGGCCACGTGGAATTTACAGGAAAGAGTATTGAATACTTCATCATTATTTGAAAACTGCTACGTACCTTTGATATCACTAAGAAAGTTGCGTATGTATTTTTACACGCAAATGTTTTTAATCCCAAGGAACTGGTGGTTAAATATTTATCAGCCCATTAGCTTTTGGCCCCCTTTTGTGTTCACCGTCTGAGAAAGACCCCTGAGGGAAGGTGCCTGTGCTGTGGGCTCAGGCAGGGAACCTTTGGACATGAACTTAGCACCTCTATATCACCTAGCTGGGCCGCGCAACTCCTTCAGAATCTCCCGATTTGGACATTTATTTTGCAGATATTTGCATTTCATTACCTTTGGGCATGGCTCCCATTCACCCACCTGAAAACCTAGGCCCTCTTCATGTCCAGCCAGTTCCTGTGTGCTGGCCTGGGCGGTTCATGCTCAGGGGAGAGTTTAAGGGGATCGAACTGGACCTTTAAGGAATCGGAAGATGTGCTCGGCCGTAGTACGGTCTTCGTTGCGGTGCCTTCTCAAGGGTCTGCCCGGCTTTAATTTCTCTCTGACCCGCGTTTCCCGACAGGATTGACGATTGCCAAACGCATCCAGATTTCGGACCTACCGCAGTTAGTTGCTGCTTTCCACAGTCTGGTGGGCTTGGCGGCCGTGCTGACTTGCATCGCCGAGTACATTGTGGAGTACCCACATTTCGCCACGGACGCGGCAGCAAACCTCACCAAGATCGTGGCCTACCTGGGCACTTACATCGGCGGGGTCACCTTCAGTGGGTCTCTGATCGCCTACGGGAAGCTGCAGGGTAAGTGAGTCAGCACGGTGGGGAGGTAAATACGACTGTTTACGGGGGATACGGGTCCCTTTCCATCTCAGAAAGTAGCTTAACCGCAGAAGCTGTTAGGTGGAGAGTTTGTGTAGCACTCAGAATGTATGAACGACTTTCTCTCTCCATAAAGGTGGCTTTCCTTCATCGACCCTCACAGGTCTTAGAGGGCTTGGAAGCTGTTTCTCCTGCGTACAGCTAGTGAAGGAAGCTGTGGCACAGACATTGGTGCACAGGGGCTGGCTGAGATTTGATAGCACATACGAACAAAATGACATCGTCCTAGTCCCTGGTTTCCAGAATAGACGGAATCTTATTGAACACATCTGTGTGATTAGTATACGGTACTTATTTTGAAAACAAATACACATGTGAGGGCTCATGTGTGGAAACTTTTGGTACTGCTAAAACCAAGCATGAAAACAGAAATAAAGAGAAAAAAAACCCCCACCTAGGCTGCTTTCGGCGTTTTCATGAAAAAAAGTGAGTCTCTAGAGAAACTAGTTTGTGACTCAAAACTCTGGTCTTGCCTCTCAGTAATCAACTCATTAAAATTAAGCGGGGAACTTGCATGCAACGTGAACATCACAAAAGGAACTTGAAGCCTACGACACTCTGTCTTACGCTTCGTCTTCAGCAAACCAGCCTCGTCTCACCGGGGCTCCGCTGACAGAATCAGAGTGCGAAGGTGCTAGGACTTTGCTTTGACGTTTGACATAAATAAGACATTTAACTTCTGGGTTGGTCCTGGGGGAAAAGTGACTTCAAGATGCTGTGACCAGAGGAAAGGGATGGTTGGTGAGCTCGTGGAGCACAGTGGAGCACCCTCCTCCCTCTTCACTGGTCGTTACGTGCAAGAAGTCGCATCTGCACTGCTGTTGCGGTTTTGGGAGATAGAAAGTGAGGTTTCGAAGGCCATGTTTAATCCAGGGAGACCTTCTGGCAGTTAAGGATGAAGCGACTGAGCTGCATGGGGGCCCGGGTGCTGACTGCCGTGTGCTTGGCTCTAGGTCTCCTGAATTCCGCCCCCCTCCTGCTCCCGGGAAGGCACCTGCTCAACGCCGGCCTGCTGGCGGCCAGTGCGGGGGGCATCGTCCCGTTCATGGTGGACCCCAGCTTCGCCACCGGCATCCTCTGCCTGGGCTCCGTGTCGGCGCTCTCGGCTGTCATGGTGAGACGGACAGAAAGCACGTGGTTTGCAGAACTGATTGTTTGATGAGATTAGAGTCCAGTCACATTTCTCTCTTCAAGACCCCGGACAGAATAAATATGTTTTCAAACACTTCTAAGTGTTTGTCTTTTTAGAATCTGGATAATATAGAAAAGTGTAAGAAGAAAATCACTTTTTTTCTCTACTTAATTATTCCTTTTTTTAAAATCATTACCCAAGGATATTTTCCCATTTATCTTCAGGTAGAGTGGGGGCAGGGGGAAGAGAGAAACATCGATGTGAGACAGACACATCGATTGGTTGCTTCCTGCTCAACCCCGACCAAGGCCGGGAACAAACCGCAACAGACCAGAATCGAACCCGAGACTCTGGTCCGAGGGCCAATGCTCTAACCGCTGAGCCAAACTGGCCAGGGCCTTAATTATTCCTTTCAAAGTTCTCACATGTGACATCTTTATTGCCCTGGGGTCTTTTCACAGGACCGATGTGTTGGTGGATAGGAATTTTAAAAAAACAGCATTGAGATTCCATCCGTTACATGCCTGCCGTGTGTCGAGGCTACGAAATAGTGCTCTGGGGTCCATGTCACAGGGCAGGACAGTCCCTGTCCGCTAGCTGCCCTCAGTCATTGGAAGCTATGACACCGAGCCAAATACTTACATAAAACTTAATGCAGTTGACCAACTGTTCAGTGACGGAGTGCAGGGAAGCTTTTCATGATAGGTTGGCTCTCCTCTTCCTCTCTGATTTTCCCGTTTAGGATATGGATGCATGGAGTATTCTTTGTTGTCTGTATATTACAGTTTAGCATTTTGTCAGTGTGTGATGCTGAGCACACAGCTCTAGGTTATTCACTAATCCTTTTGTGTGTATTTAGTAGTCCAGGATGTCCTTTGCAGAGAAGGTTTACGTTTTAAGTTTTTAAGATAATTTAACGTGTTACAGACATAGAACGGTGGTTTATCAAACACCAGCTGCTTGGTTCAAAAACACAAATTCTTATATCAAAATGAGACGAATTTTTATGTAATCCTAAGAGTTTTGTTATGATTTCAACACAGAACCTTTAGAACACTGAAAAGTAACTTAAAATTCCATCTCTATATGACTGACCACTGATGATCTAGTTTTATTCTGACTTATATCGCACTGATTTTTGTTTTATTTTAAACAAAAGAAAAATAGTTTTGATATTTTTTTTTATCTAATAGGGCAGAAGAGGTAAAGTTTCAAAAATCAAACTGGTAGCATTGAAATGTAAAACTTCAAGAATTGTTACTTCTGAGGAGAGGTGAATTTTGTATTTAAAAGGTAGTTAATGACTCTATGAGAATGAGTAAGAAAATATTTCATGAACTAATATAATTGGTTTTGATGTAATTTAGAAATACATGAATACATTCACATTGTAACAAACTCAGAATATATAGGAGTTTGTGGAATAAAAAGCAAAACTCTCTCTGCAATCCCTTTCCCTTTCTGGTTCAGTGATTTTGGGTTGTATCATGGACCTCATGAATGATAGAGACTTTGCTTCTGTTCTATTTCTCCAGAGAGTATTGATTATTGTTATTTCTTTATTAGTTTTTGTAGGCAGCTCATCAAGCTGGATCCAGATTTCAAATTCTGGCTTCCCTGGGGGAGGGGGCAGCTGCAATCTTTAAAAATATTTTTCAACCAAAGTTTACATTCACTGTAATTTTGTATTAGTGTCTAGTGTACAGTCTAGTGGTTAGATAATCATATACTTTAGAAAGTCTTCCCCTTCGTATTTCCAGTCCCCACCCGGCACCGCTCACAGTTATTACAATATTACTGACTGTATTTCCTGTGCTGTAGTTTGCATCCCAACAGTCTGCTGTTACTTTATCTTTAACGGGATTGCTTGGAGTCTGCCCACATGTGCCTAGTTCAGGAGGCAGCCAGAGATTTGGGCAGAGTGCAGACAGAACGGGGGGCTTTCTCTCTCTAGCCTACTCCTTTGCAGAATTTACCCTCTCACTTCCCAGCTGCCTTAGTCACCCTAAACCCTGTCCTCGGATCTTCAAACTAGTCAGACTGTGGGCTTATATTTTGTTTTAGCTGTTTCACTTGGCACCAGCAGGGGCCTGCCCTCAGGCTAAAGCCATAAAAACTGGGAAGTGCTCTCAGTCCCGCCACTTGCTTCCAAGTGTAGACTCCTCTCCAGTTTCTGCCTGCTTTTCATCACTGCCTTGTAGGGACGTAGGGCCTTTGTGGGGAGGTGGTTCACTGTTTACATCTGTTACATCTGTGGGAGAGCTGGTCAGATAGGCACCGGGTCATCCTAGCAGTGCAGAGTGTGTGTAAATGCAGTCATCGGAACACGGGAATGGTTGAGAACCGAAATGTTCATCATCGGCGGCTTTATTTTTATTTTGTTAACTTTGAGCTGCACTTTGCTTTTTGTCCTAGGGTGTGACTTTGACGGCTGCGATCGGGGGTGCTGACATGCCCGTTGTCATCACTGTGCTGAACAGCTACTCAGGCTGGGCCCTGTGCGCCGAGGGCTTCCTGCTCAACAACAACCTGCTGACCATCGTGGGCGCGCTCATCGGCTCCTCCGGGGCCATCCTGTCCTACATCATGTGTGTGGTAAGAAGCACATGCCTGACAGGCAAGGACAGGCTGTTCTGCAAAGAAGGGCGTATCTCATTTGTTTGTATCTGCAGTAAAATGACGACCTCAGTTTTTATTCTCTTCAGCACAAATACCAGAGGTAGCATTCGAACACATTGGCAAGGCTGCTTGTAAATACTCGGCGTAGAAAATTAGGAAAATTAAATATAGAAATAAAATCTTCTGATTCCCTCCTTCTGAGATAAACACTTCAGCTTTTGGGTTGTTTCCTTCTATTCTTTTTCTTTGTGTATTAGATATCTGTGTATTTACTTGTCTGATCATAAGGTATACTTTTACATTTAATTTTTTTTTATCTTACAAACTATATTCTTGTCATTTTCTTATTAAAAATGCATTTTAAATATTATTTTAAGGGACTTTATACTAATCCATCACATAGAGATACAGAAATATATTTAATTTGTCCCTAAAGCCATACCTGTTAGGTTGTTTGATTTTTATCTCTCTGTACATCAGTGCATCTTTGGCACTTCTGATGTTTGTCTTAGGATCGATTCTTAGAAGGGAAAGGGTGTGCTCATTTTTATGGGCTCTTTCTGCTTATTCTCGTGTTGTTTCCGGAAAGCTTGCTGCAATTTACACACCCACTGGTCATCTTCGAGAGTGTCCATCCTGAAGTTTGTGGTCAGCATGGTATTTTTTTTAAAGAAAAGAGAAAATTAACAAGACAAATACTCCCTCGCTTCCTTTGTGTTTTTAATTTTCTTCTTGATGGCAAGAAGATATCTGTAAATAATGAAATGTTTGACTGGAAACCTTTTTCTAATTATAGGTACTATTCTCTAAATAATAGTTCTGAATGATTATGAAGGGACAAGCATGAAACTAAGTGAAATCAGCATGTGAACTTTACACTGATTAATAATTCAGAAGAATACTTAGCTCATTGCCATTCTTTGACTACATTATTTTAAAACCCTTATTTTACAATTGAAAATTTATTTTATATTTTAATTGAAGAACTCTTTGTTAATTGAATGCTGGAGTTATCTTATTTTATAAAACAAAGGATTTGATAGCCCAATTTCAAATCAAGTTAAGAGGTTTTAGACCCTGGCCAGGTAGCTTAGTTGGTTAGAGCATCTTCCCAATGTGGCAAGGGTGCAGGTTCGATCACTGGTTAGGGCCCGTACAAGAGTCAACCACTGAATGCATAAATAAGTGGAACAACAAATCAGTCTCTCTCTCTCTCTCTCTCTCTCTCTCAAAATCAATTAAAAAAACAAAACAAAGTTAAGAGGTTTTAAAATTAAATCCCCAAATCGTTTAGGGAATTTTAGAAAGGTGGAGGTTTTGTGTCTCCTATTTGAAAAGTGTCAGGCTTTGGAGTTTTATTTAAAAAACAAATGTTTATGAAGAAGACAACATTTATTCAGTTGTATTAGAAATAGTTTTCTCTAAAAGTAAACCTTGAACCCTTCCTTTGACTTTGCTTCATTTGGTGAATTTGAATGACCAGCAGGGGGCAGCAGATTTTCATTAATACTTGTGGTTGGGCAAAACATGTATTTTAAAATTAAATGAGAGGATTTGAATGTTAACAGCGCTAGTGGCATCTGGTATGGGGAGCGGAGAGGCGGGCTGGTACCTAGATCTTGGAGTGTCTTCATGAGTACCTTCTTGCCTTTCTCCTTTTTCTCTTAAATGGTTTTCTTTAGGTTCTTAAATTTATCCACACTACTTCCCAAATTTCTGTCTGCCTGCACTTCTTTGATTTCTTTTTCATTTCCTTTTTCTTCTTCATTTAGTTTCTTGTTTTTGGTTATTGTGACTACAGTAATGGTAGCCGCTCTGTCGCTGGAATGAGGTAGGAAGAAGCTGGAGCTGAAAGCCCTCTTTTCAACATGTACATATGCATTTGTATCATTTTTCTCTTCACTTTTTCTGTTTCCTGGTTTTTGACCTGCTTTCTCTACTTACGCTCGCGCTCTCTCTCTCTCTCTCTCTCTCTCTCTCTTTCTTTCTTTCGACTTCTTCAGACCCAGGCATGCCATTTATTGCCAGTGTCCTGTGGATACTGTTTCTTCCTATCCTGTGTAGAAGGATGACAAGGTTTCTTTTTTTTTTTTAATCCTCACCTGAGGACTTTTTTTTTGCATTTATCTTCAGATGGAGCAGGAGGGAGAGAGGGAGGAAGAGAGAGAGAAACATCTAAGTGAGAGAAACACATCAAGTGGTTGCTACCCACACGACCCCAACCAGGGCCGGGGACAAACTGCAACCGAGGTATGTGCCCTTAGCGGGAACTGAACCCGGGTCTCTCCAGGCCAGGGCTGACAAGGTTTCTTACAGCTGTCTGACCATATGTATTTCCCTGGGTCACACTGATGCTCTGTAGCAGCAAATTGTATTACTTTCGGTTCAAGGACAGCTGAAGCTTTAACTTTTAAAAATTATTCAATTATGAAAGTAAAAGATTTAATGTGGGACATTTGGAAGAAACTAGAAAAGGATGAATAAGAAAATGAAACTATATATAATCCAGTTACCACTTACCTGTTAATCTTGAATATTCTAATTATAGTTTTTGCACATATATATGTTTTTAAATACGTTCTATGTTGGTTAATTTTCTAAGAGTTTCCTAACCCTTTCTGGTGTGTCCTATGATGGTATTCTATCACATCGATACGCCATTATTTATTCACCCGAGTCCATATTCTTAGTTGTTTTTACTCTTTTTCCCTGCAGTACATTCTCCCTGTGCATCTTCGGTTATTTCCTTAGGTGAAATTCTCATACGTACAATCACTGGGTCAAAGGGAGTGAGGTCTTCTGTTGGCTGTGGATATTGGTACATTGATCTCCACCAAGGAAGGGTTCGCTGGAAGTTCTCCCCAGTAGTGATGGGTGGGGTGCGTCCCCTACCGAACACTCTGCTCCTCGTCTTATTGGAAAACAAACAATAACAAACAAACAAACAAGGCAGTAGAAACCAGCCTGGCTCTTCAGGTTTGAAGACACATTTTCCGGTTTCTGCCTTTTCACATTCCTCTTCACTGATCCTCAGCCTGTGCTTGTTTGTGATAAGAAATGCTTTCTTCATGGCTGGTGTCGAGTAGCGGCTCAGGGTGGGTCTAATAAAAAGTGATGCTAATAAAAAGGAAGTCGCTGCTGGTCGTTGGGGTTAGAGCAGCAGTGCTGGCATGATGCTGGGCACTGTTCAAAACGAGCTCGCTTGGCCCCGCACGAGCTCTGGAGGTAGGACACCCTCCTCATTTCACAAGGAGGGTGTGTTAAGATGTCATTTATTACTCGCTTTTGTGTTTATGGAGCAAAACAGAGCCCCTGGCACAGTCAAATGAATATAATAATTGTTAAATAACTATTAGATGATTATTTTATTCGTTAGCTCATTTAGTATTTTGGGATCCTCTCTGGATAGGTTATGGTAGCAAGATGTACGCTCCCATATCAAGATTTATTACTGTTACCGGTGTGTTTACCTTCACTGTTTTATTATTTATCGGCAGAGACGTGCGAGTCCAAACCAGAACAGCATGGTTTTGTTATGCGAGAGGGTTTGGAATGCACCCAAAGTGGCGAATTAGCAAACCCCTAAAATTGAATCTTGTTCTGACAAAGAATTCTTTGGGTGTCTCTGTGCCTGATGTCGAGGTTACACAACAACCAAAAACACCGACAGCGTCCAAAGAGCCAGCTCAAACGAACGATTCGCTTTATACCCAGATGTCATTTGACATTAACCTCTTTGTGATTTTATAGTCCTTTTACTTGGAAAATGGAACCGTATTTTCAGACCAAATTTTTTGATTTTTGCACTGTGTTTTCAAATGAAAATAGAACAGAATGAATTGCATCAAAGCCAAACCCCAATTTTTTTTTTTTTTTTTTGCTTTGCAACCGATTAATTAGCACCTACAGAGCATTGAAATGAGATGGTTATGTATATTATTATTGCTTTGGTTTTGTCTGTTTTATGACCTTTTCTTTGTTTTCAGAGTTTGTTTTCGTACATTTTGCTTAGAATTATGTGAATTAAGGATCTCTTTAATGTTGCATACAATTTTCATTATAGGGTTTAATAACTTAAAAGGAGCAGTCTTGGACAGTGTTTCTAATGCTTTGTCTTAGAAGCTGGGAACTTTTCAATCTGGGATCAGTGGTCATAGGACAGTCTCATTAATCACTTGAGCCATCCAAAAAGAGAAAAAAGAAACAAAACAAGCCCCAAACCCTAAACATTTGTTGAAAATATGATGTTGCAATGGTGAATCCAGAGATGAAAAATAATTTAGTTTTTGAGAGACCGCATGGAATTAGCTTAATGGTGGTATAATTGTCGATACGTGTTTAACAAGTGGCCTTTGATTGTTAAACTACTGTGTGGTTCTCTGTTTTCCTTCCCTAAGATGCCATCAGAAGGGGGTACACATTAATTAAACATCCTCGGAAATTCTTTCCTTCCCCTCCACTGGGTTTTATAGGAACTGAAGACGGGTTCTTTTTAAGTCCAGTAAGACTAAAGGGTTGTATCGTCCACATCTGCCTCTGTTCTGGGCCCCTCTGCCTTCTTTGCCTCCACAGGACTGTGTGATGCAGGTGATGAAGTCTTTTTGTAGGTCTGACTTTTTTTTCTTAAAGTTATCTATGACAGAAATATCTCAACATCTGAAATAGTTGTTTGAATCCGTTTTTAAGGGCAAAAATTTGGTGGAACCTGTTTTTGGTCATTTATTTTCAGAATCCTGTAATTCAAAATGAGATAGAATTGTTCAAAATCAATAAATGTTGAATGTTTGGGAAGTCTCAGGTAGAACTTGGTAGATTTTCACTCAACCTTGGATTTATGGAGAGGAGTTGGTGTTCAGAACGTAAAACTTCCTGTCAGATTGGGACTATGAGCTTAAAAGCATTACTTTAATATTCGTCTGTCCCTCTTATCTGTTAAAAATGTTCGCAAAAATATTGAGGGCTTTATTTTAGATGTTATAATCTTAGACAAGTTGACTTTGGGCTCTGTAAAATGTGGATGTTGTAGCTCATCAATGAGCTGAGGTCAAAAGAACAATATGAAAAATTTTTGAGCCATCATCTTTGCAACTGAGGTTGTTGGCCTGCTGCCCTTCCGTCAGGCGTGGCTTGTCTCCCTGCTCCTGTTCTGTCTCCTCAGCAGTGCATCTGCCTGTCTCCCAAGGTGGTGGCCAGGGGGCTGTCTTTGGAGGGGTGTCATGTGTTTCTCTCTGATGTGTTACTCGTCACTGCAAATCTCCAGGTGCTTTTTGATAATGAACTGTCTTTTAAAAAAAAGTCATAGATTGATACGTACGTAGCTTATAAGTGGTATAAACAGTGGATCAGTGATATGTTTATTACAGCCCTCAAAATGGGGTTTAATAATTTTTTGGACAATTCTTTGAAGTGATAAATCCTGTCGTGATTATGTGGAATGGCTGCTTTGATCATGAACAGGGATTTGAATTCTAAAAGTGCATTTGACTACTCAAAACATCCATCTTCCTGCCTTTTCATTGACCACCTCACCTCGAGCAGTCTACAAATGAACTTCTTTCAAAGCCTCATTAGCTGTGGTCACATTTCAGTTTGGGTGTTTGTGTGGGACACTGTTGGGTGGTTGTAAACGAGCAACAAGAAGTGCCTACCTATTGTGTGTGTGTTTTTTTTTTTTCCAAGATAATTTTTCAAGTTCATGGGTGGGTGTATATTTTAATGAAACAGTGATTAAACTTACTTATTGATCTTTTGGGGATGAAATATTTTAGGAGTCTAACAATGAATCCAGTCACTTCTATGATAGCTTCGTGGAGCTGATTTGGAAAACAAGACCGTGTCAATTTCCACGTTTATTTTTCTTGCCGGCAGAGGGCAGCAGAGCTCCAAATGAAATGAATCCCTGTCCCTTTTGCTCCTGGTTCTCCTCCTGGGTACTGTGGACAGCTTGCCGCTGGCAGCAGAACTCACTTGAGAGCTCTCTAGGGTCCCCTTGTAAAAGTTCGTATTCCCGTGATTTTCTTTTGCTCCTGTGAAACGCACATGAATGTGGAGGTACAACCCACTGCATCAGTATGCAGATGACAGTAACCAGGTCTGAGTTTTCCACTAGTTTCTTAACTTTCCATGAAACGCCTTAAAAAGTTTCATTCTCTCACTGTAAATATATTTGTGTGTACTTGATTTTAGTAGAGAAAAGCATGTGGTTTCCCAGATGTCTTCTTTTCATTTGAATGTTGGAAATTCTTTGCAGAAGCTAGATCAAATTATGCGGTTAAAATGTCTCAGATGAGCAAATACGCCTCTTTATTAAATGATTCTGAGTGTCGTACACACAGATCGTTTTCTGAAAGTTATGTGGCTTCCTCTATCACAGCTGATGGTTTTGCTCTCCAGGCAATGAACCGCTCCCTGGCTAATGTGATTCTTGGAGGCTATGGCACCAGCTCGACAGCTGGCGGGAAACCCATGGAGATTTCTGGCACGCACACGGAAATCAACCTGGACAACGCGATTGACATGATTCGAGAAGCAAGCAGCATTATTATTACTCCGGGTAAAAAAAAAAGCAAAAAAAGAAAAAGCAAACAAACAACCTGTAATAGCTGTTGTGATGGATCCTATCGAAATGATGTCTTATAAGGCTAAGATAGGAATAAACATGAGCGTAATTGGGTGTTCAGGTGACAGGGCCATTGCTGCCACCTCTGGGTGGGAGCAGAGCATTACAGACGCTGCCATACCTGGGACATTCCGGCAGAAAACTGCCCTGCCACAGTGGCCCTGGCGTCACCTGCTGAGACGGTGCTGGAGTCCACAGGTGGGAAGATGCAAAGGACCTTCTTTTCCCTAGAGGCATTGTCCACCTGGTGAAGAGGTCGGGTCCATAATGCAGGTGGTTAGGGTGAGGCCTAACTGAACTGTGTGCACGATTTTTCCATCACGGGGACCTAAGAAAGATTGTCGGGAGGTGAGGATGGTGTTGGGGAGGGGGGAAGGCAGAGGGCACAGCTTGAGAAGAGACTGGGTATTTGGAAAAATGAGGGTACAAAAGTGGGGACAGATATGCGAATTTGTAGTGCAGGGACAGAATATGGGGGTTAAAGGAAAAGGACCGAGGCTTTTGGTCATCCTGTACTAACATCAGAAATATGGAGGTTTCATTTTTTTTTTTTAAATATTTTTTCTGTATTGACTTTAGAAAGAGAGGAAGGGAGAGGGAGAGAAAGATAGAGACGTCGATGAGAGAGAACATCGATTGGCCGCCTCTGCATGCCCCGCACTGGGGATCGGGCCCGCAACTTGGGCATGTGCCCTGACCGGGACTCGACCTCTTGGTGCCTGGGTCGATGCTCAACCACTGAGCCACATCGGCCGGGCTGGAAGGCTTTTTTTTCCTTTTGATGGAGGAGAGGATTTTTAAGTTCCCCTTTGAGGACATTAAGTTTGAGGTGGAGATGGGACAGTGGACATGCTGTACTGGAGCTTGAAGGACAGGCTGAGTCATCAGATGGTGTTGAAGCCATGGGCCGGGCTGAGATTCTCCAGGGAGAGTGTGAGGGCAGAGTTCAAGCTTGGGAGCTTCCTGGGTTTGGGGGAGAACAGAAGCTGGTGCAAGGAAACGGGAAGAATGGGAAGGAAGGGAGGAGGGCAGCCAGGGACTGCAGTGTTAGCAAAGCCAAGCGTGAAGACAGTCTGAGATCATTTACGTGAGAGACAGAGAGACAGACACAGAGAGACAGAGAGGCAGAGAGAGAGAGACAGATTGAGAGACAGAAAGACAGACAAAGAGAGAGACATAGAGACCGACATACAGAGATTCAATCAGAGGCAGAGATAGAGAGATTGAGAGACAGACACAAAACGAGAGAGAGAGACGACAGAGAGACAGAGCTGACAGAGAGACAGACAGAAAGGGGGGACACAGGCGTGCAGGTGGGGTCGGCGGGGAGGCTTCCGGGCACCACTGGACCTGCACAAGATCGAGGAGGGACCATGGGATGTTGGCGTTGACATTTAGGCCAGTATTTTAAAACGTCTCTATGATAAGTTTGCTTTCATTTGCAGTCCTATTATGGATAGCTCTTTTTTGGTATAAAAAAGTTTCGATCAAGAGAGAAATTTCAAAATTAACCCTGCATTCTTCCATGTTCTTAATGCTCCCCGTAGGCTACGGCCTCTGCGCAGCCAAGGCCCAGTACCCCATCGCCGACCTGGTGAAGATGCTCACGGAGCAGGGCAAAAAAGTCAGGTATGTGGGGCAAAAAGTCAGGAACGGGGGGCAAAAAGGTCAGGAACGCGGGGCAAAAAAGTCTGGCACGGGGGGCAAAAGGTCAGGTGCGCGCTGGCGCTGGGTCGCTCCGTGGGGTGTGAGAGAGAAAGGAAAACAGATAACGTTTTTGTAAGTTGACTTTTTTTTTTGTCATCCTAAATGCATTTTTTACTAATTAAGAAAGGGATATTGTGCTTATTGGATCAAACCTGGAAAACACTGACTTGGGAGAGAAAACAGTAGTCATAGCCCCTCTGCCGCGGGCACGCCCTCAGCTGCCGCCGATTCTGCCGCCGCAGCGCGTGTGGTAGGCGGTGGGGACGCTTGGTTCAGAGCTGTGACTCGAACAGCCACCCCTTAGTCACAGCTACAGAAATGACCCCTGAGAGGACCCTGGTTTTGAACGTGGGAGCAAATATCAGTTCAGAAGAGGACACTGGACTTGAGGCCGGGGTGGAGCGGGCAGGGCGAGACCGAGTGCCCAGGAGGACTTTCCGGGGAAGGACTGTCGTCTGTCCTTGTCCACTACGGGCCGCTTATCGGGCCTGGACAAGAAACGGACCTAAAACATTGTTTTTTCAGTTACAGTTGACATCCAGTCTTTTATTAGTTTCGGGTGTAGAGCCTAGTGGTTAAATATTTATGACTACTTCTCAAAGCGAAGTTCTGCATGTGTAATCTCAGGTGAATAAACTAAGTTGCAAAAACCCCTGTTCCAGCCTCAGCTTTACTACCGAGTTTGCGCTGTTTCTGTCGGATAGCATCGAACCTACATAAAGGCTCAATACAAAGGGAACTGTCACTAGACGAAATCCCAGGATATTTATTAACGGGGGAAAAACAGAAGTCACGTTTCTCTGTGGTTTGATTTGGGGAAGGAGGTCAAGCGAAGCCTTTGAACCACGCCAGGAGGCGACCTTGTGGTTTCTGTTGTTGACACTGAAGAAAAACATCTCAGCGAGACGTGTTCGAGGAGGGAGACCCAGTGGGACCCTGAGGGCTGGGTGGCGGTTGCCTCCTGCAGCTCACTCTGGGTGGGAAAGACTGGTGGGACTTCTCTTGTCATAAAACCGCCCTCTTTCTGAAATGTGAATTAGAGCGACAACTGTTGCAGCCACTTATTTGGGCCAAGGGCTCTGCCGTTGGGGACAGCAAGCAGAACGGCGAAGTTGCGGCCTCTGCGTTTCCAGGTCGTTCCCCACGGCCTCAGGTGGGGGGTTTGAGGGCGGTAGCGGTGGGCTGGTGGGTGAGGACCCTCGCAGTTCCCGGTGTTTGTCCTGCTCACCTGTGGCTCTCTGTCCTGGAACTCACCTGTTAGGAGACAGTGCAGGGACCTTCTGGACTTCTCCTGAGAGGAAGGGAAATTGCTGTGTGTTCTGGGGAGGTTGGCTCACTAGCTGTTTCATTGACTTGAGAGACAAGATAACTCTATGATTAAGTAAAGCGAGTTTGTTCACCGGGATGTTAATGTCTGTTAATAAAACCATGAATGTCTGTTAATAAAAATTCCTTGTAGACATTAATCTGATACTATTTGTCTGGGGGCCGATGGTAGAAAAATAAGCCAAAGAGTGTGCCTAGAGCTGGTCAGGCTATAATGCCAGCAGCAGAATCCTGGTTTTCAGCTTGAATGTCACAATTTTTTTTATTAATTTTTTTTTTAGAGAGAGATAAAGGGAGAGGGAGAGAGAGATAGAAACATCGACGGGAGAGAACATCGATTGGCTGCCTCCCGCACGCCGCCTAGGGGGAATCGAGCATCCCTGACATGTGTCCTAGCCGGGAATCAAACCAGTGACCTTTTGGTGCACAGGTTGACGCTCAACCACTGAGCCACACCAGCCTGGCTGTCACAGCCGTTAATAGTGAAAGACTCAGGTGATTAAACCAGAGCGTCATCTAAAATGTTTGAACTTGGCTGCGTTTTCTCTCTCTCTTTCCCCCCCCCCCCTTCTCTCAACCCTTCCCCAATTTCTACCTTCCTGCGACCTAAAGTCTGTGCTTGTTAAATACAAGCAGTTAAAATACTGTTTTGTGGTAGGACCAGCATTCCTGGGGTGTACAGGGTTCAACACATTTAGCATAATCTTAGGTGAATTGAAGATGGAAGATGAGCAACGTCACTGACATTGTTTCTTGTCACACAAGAGGTCTCGTTGCAGTAATTCATTCTCGTGCCCGTGCAGGGTCTGACACTTTGCTTCCCTTACCGTCCCCGTCGCCACGTAACAGCTTTTGTAGACCTACAGGTGGAAAGGGTGTGTTAAACAATCTCTAGTCGTTTTCCTAAAAAGAAATGGTTTTTCTCTATTCGATCCACATGTGAAAAGTGGCGTGTATTAGTACTGCCTCTCTCACCACATACATGGCCAGGAGATGAGTGGCCCACATAGCGACCCAGAAAGACGGCTTTCAGGCCTGTCACCCTGAGGACGGCAGTGATTCACTGGATGTTGTTCTCCGATCACCCGCGGATCAGCCTGCGCTCACCAGACGTCTTGGGAAATCAGGCCAGTGTTAGAGAGGGAGATGCAGACTTGGGGAGCGTCCGACGGTCGGGCAGCTTGGCAGAAGGCAGGACGTGGAAGGGAAGGAATGAGGACGGAAAAAATGATCTGAAAAGAAAAGGGAGAAGACAAATGAAATTTCAGTTTCTGACCTCATTACAATTTGCATTTTGTCCACGGCATAATATAAACTGCTCTTTTAGGATGACATCTGTCACATGGCATGGGAAAAGTAATTAGTTGACTTAAGATTTATGGGAGATATAGAATTGTATATTAGTGTATTACAGTTTTTTTTTTTTTTTTTTTTACTAGAGGATGTTGAATTTTCAACATGGGCTTTATAACAAGTTACGTAAATTTCACATTTGATTTCAAGGGAAGAGAACTATTCTTGCTAACCCGATGACGTGGATTATCATATCTTTCTTGCTTCTGTGTGAAGATTTTTTTTTTTTGAATTTAAAGGGAATCATAGGAACTTGATTGATTTTTGCTTCGAGAGTCGTCATTGTTTCCTAGGAGAAAGGCGCATTTTCTTGACAGGGTTAGGGACCCGTGCTTCCGTAGAGGCTGGTGTGGTCTTCGAGCGGTGTCTGCTGGCACGGGAGGTGGCTGGGCGGTTACCTTCCGCCGTAATGAAAGAAATCTGTATTCACAGTCCGCGGTGTTTCAGCCCTTTCTTCACTCGGGGCTCCCACCGTGCCCCTGGGCCCAGCTGCAGGGCCGCTGGCTTTAGGAGCTCTTCGAGCCTCAGGACGCCGGCTTGCCCAGCATCCAGATGTGGCGACATGTGGCAGTGGGCCAGTGTGGACACACGACTGTCATCAGTGAGTTATGCCCAAGCGGTGCCAAGAGAAACTGCATCTGTCGTACTGCCCGTCTGACTTCATGGTCCGTGAACTCGGTATAGACACTGCTCTTTTCCTGTCCTTGGACCGTAGTCATAACACGCTCACAGGAGCTGAGGTGTGGGCTGAAGCACGTGGCATTTCAGGACAAGGGCTCGTTTCGGAACCTCACGAAAGTTCACCGACTCCAGCTTCCTCTTCTTCCTGCCTGCCCGGGCGTCTCTGTGGCTCACTGACTGCGGCTCGATTTCTGCACGCATTTTAATGCACGTATCTTACAAGAGCACAGGCGTGTTCTCTATTTCCCAGTCTCTGCACGGATATGAGAGGCGTGTCATGATAAAGCCAAGACAGTGTTCCCAATGGATAATTCTTAGGAAGAGGTGTGCTTTTTTTTTTAATCCTCATCCGAGGACATTTTTCCATTTTTTGTTCAGGTAGAGTGGGAGAGAGAAAGAGGAAGAGAGAGAGAGAAACATCAACGTGAAAGGGACACATCGAGTGGCTGCCACCCGCATGACCAGCCAGGGCCAGGGACAAACTGCAACTGAGGTAGGTGCCCTTAGCGGGAACCGAACCCGGGTCTCTCGGGACCACAGGCTGATGCTCTAACTGCTGAGCCAAACCGGCCAGGGCTTCTTTTTTTACAATTAATCTCAGCTTGATTTTCTGTGTGTAAAGCATTATTGCTTGGATCCCCACAGAAGTCTTTTGATTTTAGGAAACTGCTTTTCAACTTCTTTTATTGACCAACAAATGTTCTATATTGCTTTCAGATCAACGTCCAACTATATCTTTCTGTTAATAGTTTATCGATAGAAGTTTAGTACGGAGCACGGAGAAGACAGGAATGCGTCAGCCCAGTTCTGACTCTCAAAGTTTATAGTTATAAAGAAAACCAATCTGTGATCAAATGAATCAATGAATGAATTCCGTTTAACGTAACAGTTTGCTAAGACAGGTGGGTGGAAATGGGGAAGGAATTCAAGGGAGAGGAGCAGTCAGCTGGCTAGGGGACGTTTCAAACTGCTGACACTACTCATGAACTTTCTTGCAGGCGTGACAAATATTACTTTTTTTCATCCTCTGTCTAAATTCATCTAGCTGCCCATGGCACTTACAGGTTAATAGTATATTGCAGTCTTCTGTGACGCGGCTGTAGGTTTAAATGCATGCTATTTTTGCTAAGAGATTCATTCTTTGAACATACTGGAAGGTTTTGTTGCTCTAACTGGATTTTCTTGTATTTCGTGGATTCGATGTAATTTGAAGAAACAGAGTTCAGCCTTCTTGGATTTGTTATGTTTTAGGGTGCAGGACATACAAATTTATAAAGCAGTAAAGGTATGTATTTCTGAAGAGAATAGAAATTAGGCCAGGTAAAAGGTCCAGTCTAGTATTGGAGTAAAGAAATACACTTATTGAGCAATTTCATGCCAGTTTCTTAATACTTTCTTTTTAGACGACTATTTATAACCACTAATGACCGTTCTCTGAACAAATAATTGACACGGCCTGTGCCAGGCACTGCTGTAGGTCTTGAGAACACACCAGTGAGTACGTAGAGAACATGCCTGACCCTGCGGGCTTGACATTCACGGTGGGGCGAGTTCACGGTCTT